AAGTAACAGCCATTTGTTCTTTATTTGATATATCACGAGCTTCATCAGTAATAACAACAAATAGTTCTTCTCCAATATCATTAGTAATAGCATTTGTTGTTTCAAATGCAACAACATTAACTATATCCTTTTGGATTAATAGAGCAATTAATTGATGATTTTCAGGTTCATTTCTCAAGATAACATGATTTTTGATTCATTGTAATATGCAAGAAACTTGAGAAGTTCAAGGAAATTACCTCGATTAATAGAATTGATTGATTCATCATGACCATGAAATGTTAATCCTTGCTTTAATAGAAACTGAACGCAGTCAAACGCCTTTGATATAAGTCACAAACTTGTTCAGATTGCTTAGAAATTGCAACTTTAATACATTGATTTTGATTCATCAAATCCTGACACTTCTTCCAAGCAATGTTATAAGCACTATTAGGACCTCCAACATGAGATGAGAGTGCTTCTTTCTTGTTCCAACTTATAAACCCCCTTGTGACAAATGTGTCCCCACCAGATTGCTTTCTAAAATTAGGCCTGAAAAGATAACAACATAAACAAAATACTGTATCTTTTTCAATATTGTACTTCATCCAATTAACAAATTCATTAAACCAAGACGGAGAAAATCTTCTTAAAGAACTCCCAAATTTTCTTTGGAGAAAGTTATATTTAGTAGGTTGGCAAAGTCCTCTTTGCAAATATGCTCTTCGAATCTTATTATGATCATTAGGATGATAGGTTGAAATTTTTATGCGTTTTCCTGGATCCGATGGCAAGTCTTCTAAATTGAGCTCAATTTGTTAGGATTGAGAACTTGATTCTTTAGGGTTTGATGAAGATTGCTGCTCATTTGAAGGTAATTTCCTCTTAAAAAAATTTCCATGACCTATTTGAAATATGGGATTAACAGAGTTTAAATGAAAAGATTCTGCTAAGTAAGCATTTAAAAAAATATATAAAAGCAAGGTTTTATTGAATAGTGGCAGAGGAGAGGAAGAACAATCCAACTTACCTTGCCTTGACTTTAATTTGAAGTAGAAAATATGAAGATTGAAGAGCTGCAGCCTGCAAACTCTATTTCAGATGTTCAAAGCAAAGAAGAATGTTTAATTCAATGCAAAGAAGAAGTCTTGACAATTTTGTGTGAAAATTTTCAGTTTTCTGTAAGCTAGGCCAATTGAGGTTTAAGAAAAGCTAGTAAACTTGTTGGAGATGAAAGGTAATTTGACAAACGTGTCAGAGAAGAAAAGTAAAAAAGTAAGAATAAAAAATTATTATTTTGATTGATTTGAACTTTTAGCATGTTTCATCCGATTAGGAGGTGCAAAAATATAAAATTAGGGGGTGCAAAATATTAAAAAAATCATATTATTAAAAGTAATTATCAAAATTGAGGGGATGCATTTGCTCCTCCTCAGCCCTATATAGATACACCACTAGTGTGTGGTGTATATTTTACGTTGAAGTATGATAATTCTTTGGTCGATGTAGACAATACAAGACTATGTGTTTAATTATGGTAGAGATTACTAGAGTTAGTTATATACATTATTCAGGTCTGTAAAAAAAGAAAAAGACTAAAGTTATATATTGACCTCAAGTTTTGTTTCAAATTACATCAGTCATAAATACTTTAAGTTTATATCTAACTTTTTTTATACTTTTGTTTTAGAGTGTAGCAAGATATAGTTTAGTTAGTTTCTTTGGAGAGTATGGATATATTAGGATCATGGGGTGGCTATGAAAAAGGTTTATGTTGTAAAAATTTCATTATTTTCTTGTTATCCTTAGATAATGATCATTTTTTTTTTAATTTAGAGCTTTCTTGTTAAGTCTTACTGGTGATTGTGTTATCTTAGCTTTGTATCTAAAGAAAGTTCTTAAGAGAAATATGTCATTTTTTCTAACAACAAAAAATTATGGTAAAAATTTAAAATAATTTTGAGATAAAATGACCTTTTACACCTTTTTTTCTAAATTCAAATGAATATATTCAATTATAAACTATAATATTTTATTTTGAGATAAAATAAATAAATAAATTGCTATAATTTTTTAATCACATAAAGATCTATAATTTGATGTATAAATTATTCTATTATTTAGATGTTATAAAATCATGGATGCTAGTTTATCTAAACTATCTAATAACATATGCATGTGATTTACTCTAAATGTCATTTAAAAAAAAATACCAAAAATTTTCTTATCTTTTCCTATCTAAATAAATTATAAATTTTTAAATTCACATAATAATTAAAGATAGATATATAAATTACTCTATTATTCACAAATTAAATAATTTTAAAATTAACTTTTTCATCTAATTTTTAGAAAAATTAAAAATTAAAGAATATCTTGAAATTACTTTAATACCCTCAAAAGGTTTACTTTAATTTTTTAAATATATCTCAAAAAGGTTTTACATTCAATTTCCTTGCAATACATTTTAATAAGGTTCTCTTTTTTAATTTCTCAACCAAATATCTTTCAAAACAATTTTTCATTATAACCTCGATTTTCCTATTACATCAAGAGATACGAAAGAGCCGGGACTAAAACTCGTCAGACCCAATTATTTTAAAACATATCTTCTCTCTCATTTTTTCTTTTAAAAATAAAATATCAAATTTTTGAATAAAATGAAACTTTGATTTTTGCACAATTTAGGTAACTATTTCTATAGACGTCGTGGGATGCTAAAACTTCTCTCACGCGTAACTAAACTAGCAAACTCAAGTGTGATTAAGCATACAATTTTTCAAAGTTTTCATAATTCTTTAAAAAATTTAGTAACGACTTCTTCAATTTATATTTTTCTTTTTCTCATTTTTTTATTCACCATTTTTGTTGTCACAACCCTAATTGTGACAACAAGCACAAATATAAATGCAACCACAATTATAATACAAAGCTAAAAGATTTGTCTTACCTACTCCTCCCAAGTTGCATGTAGGTTGTTTTAAATGCTTTCATCACAAGCTCTTTTAGTAATGTACCCCTTTCATACTTCTTTTTAGGCTTTGTTTGGAGATTTGGAGAGGGAGGGAAGGGAAGGGTTTGAAGGGGAAAGGAGAGGAAAGGAGGTTAAATCCTTCCCTTTATTTGGATGTTTAACATTGAGAGAGAAGGGTGATGAGAGATTTAATTATATAAATAATATTATATTTTATATCTTTTATTTATATTTTTTATTTTTATAAAAAATAAAAAATAAATATTTTTCTTTCTCTAAAAATTAATATTTTTAAAATTACTATTTTTATTTTTTATAATTTTTTAAAAAAATCATCATTTGAAAAATTAACATTTTTTTTAAAAAAAGTTAAAATCTTATTTATGGAAGAGTATTAGAGAATAGGAGAGAGAAAACTCCCAAACTTTTCCCTCTTAATTAAGTAACTCCCAAACAATGATTAATACCTCCTAACTCCTCCCTTCCCCTCCCCTCCCCTTCCCCTTCACCTTATAAACACAACTCCTAAATATAGCCTAAGGTTACCATGTAAGTTCCTAACATAATTGTACCTATATTCTACACTCATTAACAACTTCTCAAAAACTTGGATAAAGCCCTCCACATGTAACATAAATATAGCAAAATTAGTATGCTTACAACATCATAATTGAATGTAAACATTTTCATAAATACAAGTTCTCGCCTTTTGTTGGTCGAATATAAAGACATATATGTTAGTGGTGATGTCTTCTATAACCAACAATAATGTCAAAAACTACCTCCAAGTCTTTTTTTATTCTTTTTCTACTATAGAAGTAAAAAAATATTAATCATTTGAAAAATTTTCTACTTTAACAAGTAGTTGCCTATCATGCTTAGTCTTAAGATGACAACCATCCACACCAATGAATGGTCTATACCCATGGACGAAACACTTTTTACACTCATCTAAGCACAGGTAAAAGCTATCAAATCTTGCTTGAAAATTGGACTCTGGTCTCACCAATTGTATTTTACATGAACTTCCCTAATTAGCTCTCTTAAGTTTTACCTTGTAATTCCATAAAAGTGTGTATTGTTTGCTTGCCTCACCATCTATGAATTTTATGAGATTTTTTTTTTTGCATTAAAATTTATCCATATAGAAATATTCACTACGTAAGTACTTCTTATCTCACCAATGATCCCTCCCATTAAGTGACATGTTATTGTTTATCAATTTATTTATCATAATCTTTGTCACTCATCTTGCATTAGCATTCTTATTGTCAAATATTCTAGCATATGTATGCTATGAGATTATATCCTAACAAAATATTTTATAAAGACTAAATACAAATAATGCAATTTTTGTAGAAACTAAATATTTAATTGTTTATATAAAAATAATAAATTTTTATTGATATGATAATTTATAATTAGATGACTGTTAATATATTTAAATTAAATTTATAAAAATAAGATTTAATTCAAATAACATATGTTATTTAACACATTTAATAAAAAAAAATTACACAAATAATTAACAAATAATAATAAAATAAAACTTTTTCTAATATCTAGAAACACAATACTTATATGAAAAAAAAAATTACATGCATTTGTCACGTGATCATTTCTAAGTGACATCTTTCATGAACACACATTACACAACACATATAATCAAAAAATAATAATTAATGGAAACCATCACATAACACATGCATGTAATTTTAGTTTTAAAAAAAAAAATTGATAGTGTCATTCAATCCAACGCCTTACTAGACAGCACGCCAATATCCTCTCAAGTAAAAATAAATACTATTTTATCGGTAAATAATATTTTAACTTTTTAATTATTTTAAAATTATTAATTTGATTAAAAAATTCCTACCCTAGCATCCACGACATTTGGAATTGTTCAAGCTACACAAGAGAGAAATGCCAACAAAAAAAGAGAGAAAGAAAACAAGAATAAAATCAACAAGAAAAAAAGAATCCCTCGTGGCAATGTGGCTCTACCGTTGGAATCATTAAGTAATCACAATCACAAAAAGGAAATTATATGAAGAAGATAAGTGGGACCATTAGTATCTCGAGTCATTCCCGACCTTACATTCTCTTTCTTTCAGTGCCTTAGAACACAATCCATGTAATCACCACACTGCAAAAATCAAATTTTGCAATAATCATGGTTGCAATGGCAGCAGCAACAGCATCCTCTCAGTTGATTTTCTCAAAGTCTTTTTCTCCCTCACGTCTCTGCCCCTTCCAACTATGTGTCTTTGACACCAAATCCTTGATATCAAGTTCAACAAGTAGCAAGAAAAAGCATGTGGGTGGCTCTGGATTCAGATGCATGGCTGTGGGAGAAGCAACTACAGTTACAAAGAAAAAGAGTGGATATGAGCTTCAAACACTAACTAGCTGGTTGCTGAAGCAAGAACAAGCTGGTGTGATTGATGCTGAACTCACTATTGTGCTATCTAGCATTTCCATGGCATGCAAACAAATTGCTTCTTTGGTGCAAAGAGCTAACATTTCCAACCTCACTGGAGTTCAAGGAGCTGTAAATGTTCAAGGGGAAGACCAGAAAAAACTTGATGTTGTCTCAAATGAAGTGAGTGTTACAAGATTCCTTGGTTTTTGTTTATTCTAGAGTTATATATCTGTTTCAATTAAGCAAGCAATTTTGATTTATCCTAAAGATAAAACTGTAAAAAAAGAAAACATGTATTATGTTGTCCTAAAGGATTAACTTGACTAAATGGAATAAGGGGTTGTTTGCAAACATTTTATAAACAAATTTTACTGCTTTAAATGTGAATGCTTGTTTAGGTAGCTATTGTTAACAACCAAGTTGTCTGTTTTACATTTATCAGGTTTTCTCAAACTGTTTGAGGTCAAGTGGGAGGACTGGAATAATAGCATCCGAGGAAGAAGATGTGCCAGTGGCAGTAGAAGAGAGTTATTCTGGAAACTACATTGTGGTGTTTGACCCACTTGATGGATCATCTAATATTGATGCTGCAGTGTCAACTGGGTCCATTTTTGGGATTTACAGCCCCAATGATGAGTGCCTTGCTGACATTGGTGATGACCCCACAGTAAGTCTTCCGTGGCTTATTTCATTTCATTTAGAATTGAAAACGGCTCAAATTTAAATTAGGGCCTTGAAACTTTTGGATCAAATATTCGAAAGTAAAGTATAATCAAATTTGGCTAAATGAAAACCCCAAAAAGGTACTCTTGTCATAAGACTAACAAAGTTAAAAAATAAAAGTGGCTATGAATAAAGGGTAATACATATTTAGTTGAAGTAAATTTGTCATTTTTTCTAATTTTCAATTGAATCAATATAAAACGCTAAATTAATGTAATCAGAAGTAACTGAAAAAAGCTAATGAGGGTTGGCTTAACTAATAAGATCAAAAAGTGCAAACATAATGATATTAGAATCAATTATTACTAGTGGTCCTTACCTCTCATTGAGAATGGTGACATATTACTTTAAACTTGGAACAAGCAACCTCCCTTTCCTGTAAATTTTTTATCAAAAAGAAAAGAGTAAAAAGAAGCTATTGAGTAAATGGAATTTGGTGGGTTTCAGCACTTAATGTATTTTAAGTTATTTGCAGCTTGACAAAGCAGAACAAAGGTGCATTGTAAATGTGTGTCAACCCGGAAGCAACCTTCTAGCAGCTGGTTACTGCATGTATTCCAGCTCCATAATCTTTGTTCTCACTCTTGGACAAGGAGTGTTTGTATTCACATTGGATCCAATGTATGGGGAGTTTGTTTTGACTCAGGAAAACCTCCAGATACCTAAAGCAGGCAAAATCTATGCTTTCAATGAAGGGAATTATCAGCTATGGGACGACAAGTTAAGGAAATACATTGATGATCTCAAGGACCCAGGTCCTACTGGCAAGCCTTATTCTGCAAGGTACATTGGTAGCTTGGTAGGAGACTTCCACAGGACACTGCTATATGGTGGCATTTATGGGTACCCCAGGGACAAGAAAAGCAAGAATGGGAAGCTTAGGCTACTCTATGAGTGTGCTCCAATGAGTTTCATTGTAGAACAAGCTGGTGGAAAAGGTTCAGATGGTCATCAGAGAATACTTGATATTCAACCAGTGGAGGTAAGTAGTATAGATTGACTTATATGACTTTAAATTTTTTTAAGTTAATAATTAGTGTTATAATACATAGTCTTATTCATTTATTTCTCTTTTATGGACAGATTCATCAGCGTGTTCCACTTTATATTGGGAGCACAGAAGAGGTAGAGAAGGTGGAAAAATACTTGGCTTAAATGATATGTTATTGCGAAAACAAAAAATAAATACTTGTTTATGAAGATTATGCCCGATCAAAACTTCTAAAGCAATACAATCTTGTGGTCTTAAGGGAAAAAAATTATCCCCTTTGTCTTTCTTTGATGCAAAGAGAAAAATGATGCCAGGGATCTTCAGATTATTTTGAACAAAAATTTTGTATCATTTTTAAACTTGTTTCAACTTGGATGTAATTTTTACCATTTGGGTATTGTTTGTCGCAAGAGATGCAATTAAGTCAGTGAATCTCAAAACTCTCCTCTTACTACGCTGATATAAAATCACATAGCTGTCTCAATGTAGATAAAATATGCATCCAGGTGTTGAGCAGTAAACTGTTGTTACTTAACTGCTTTACATGAGTAGTTCAGAAGACTTTGAGTACGTGTAAAACGATCCCTGGGAAACTTTCTACTTAGATTTGAGCTTATTAGTTATCACTGAAATGGAACTAGAAATTTATAACTCAATTATAACAAGTACCGACTGATTAGTGAGGAAACATGATGTATATAATTTACACTAAACAGTAAACAGAATCAATGATTAAATATATCAGTTACTAATTACAATCTTGTTTTTCAGCAACTGTTCAAACATACATAAATTGCCAGTTCTAAACAAAATCATGGTAGTCAATTTAAGATTCTTGAAAAGTTAGCTTCCGACATGTCTAGTCTTCCCCTTGCCTTTTACATGTTAAAACTGTCACAACACTGAACCAGATAAAAAGGACTGCTTAAATAACTTAGCTAGGCTCTTAACCATAATTACCATCTAAATATAACCCAACTAAGACTACTTATAATAAATCAAAACAAGGAAGGAAGCTATCTACAATCACTTTTTAAGCTCGACCAAACTAGCTAAGCTTGTAAGGTATAAATGAATAGAGGGTTATCATCCTAAATGAAGTGCAAGTAAGCACAGGTTAACAAGTCAGCCTGAATCATTCTTCAAATTGTCCCTTATGTAAAATTTTCCTGATCCTCTGACCGCTTGCGGTTTTTCTCTGTAGCCAAATTGTAGCATAAGTTAATATCGTCTGATCGATAAAGATTACTTATCTGAATCAAAAACTTTGTAAAATGTACAAAACTACTGAAAAATAAATTTACCAGGGCTTAAAACTGTTATGCTTTTTGTTACAGATCGCATTGTAGTCATACAATCAGGGCCTGCATAAAAGAAAGCTTCTCAGCAAATTATGAGTTAGCTTACCGAACAAAGAAACAAAATTAATTTCATTACCTTGTATTTTCATGCCTTTCTCACATAAAACTTCAGCCACAGTTGATAATTCGGGTATAAAATGATTACTATCGCATTCATGAGATGACCTATTAAATAATGGGAAATATTCAGATAAAAGAGTGGATAAATAACAAAGTTGGACTTACAAATTAGACAGAAACAATACCCTGAAGCATTGTCCATAGAAGGACTTGATGTTGGATGGCAAGAAAAATCCATGCCTTCGCAAGAAAGGTCTAGATCGTTTAACATTTCAGTGAAGGAGAAGTCCATTCCTAAAGCATCCAAGTTAGGAAAATCAATGTCAAATATGTCCAGTTCCTTTTCAGACTCAGATGTAGATATCTCATTGGGCAATGGATTGTGCGAGCTCTCAGGCACATCAGAGGCATCGAAGTTCAACCTGCTTCTAACATGATCCCTCTTACTTAACTTGTCTGAATCTGTCTTGAGAGGAGAAATACAACGACTCATCTCTATGTAAGCCATCTGTTTTGCAGGGCTGACCATAACTCTCTTGGTTGAAATTACAGTACAACCAGTGGGTGTAACCTCACGGCAAGTTGCAACTGAAGAAATCTCTGAAGGGGATATATGTGTATCACTGTGAGAAGAATTTGTTCTAGGAGGTGTCTTTGAAACTGGTGAATTACTTGGAACAGAAAGTGAAGACTGGTTGAATAAGCATTTAGCAACATTGGATCCCTGGACCTGTGACTCCCTGGGTATGCAGTTCTCCGATGAAGATTGAATTGCAGAAGGCTGAGCCATCATTGTATTATTCACAGCATTATCAGATTGTTGCAGTGCATTTTGACCTGACAATAGAGATAAAATAAAATGCATGCAATGATTTCATGAGATTAGCATATACCCATATACTATACCAGATGTACAAGTAAGGAAATAAACCATACCTTGGACGGGAATTTTCCTATTGGATGATCTACCGCGAGATTTTTTACTAGCTGAAGGAGCATCCACAGCTTTGGTCTCCTTTCTCTTTCTGTCAGACAGATTCATCATTGGCGTTGAGAAGTTTCCACCTTCAGCATTTGAATTGCTAGATTTTGGCAATGACTGTGTATTCAATTTGTTTTGTTCAGGAGTAGGATTACCTAATACAAAGCAGTGAAATCATAACCAAGCAAGGTAAGTATGTCAGTTACAGCCACAGCCTAAAGGCTAAGGAGTGTCCATAGTTGAGCAAGTGGAAAATTGGAATGCAGCAAATAAGCAAAAATCAAGTGCGTCTTCTTCCTTTTTTTTTTTTTTTTTTTTTTTTTTTGCTGTAGCAGACAAGTGCAAACTAATTTTTATTCGAAATTTCCATCCACCTGATTATCTTCCTAGCCAACCAAGTGCGCCTTAAAGGATAATTATGCTTCCATTGTAACTTAATCATAAAAGGTTTTAATCATTCTTGACAACACATCATAGATAATGCTAAAAGGATTCATACCTGGATGAGATTTGTTAGTAATTGTTGGTTGAGGAACAGCTACAATGGCAGATTTTGCAGCAGGTGCTTGAAGGTTTCCACTGGCATTGTAAGCAGTCATTACATTCTGCATCCCTTGCAACAGCATCTGAACCCGGTTTTTCTCTTGTTCTACAACAATCCTTTCTTGATCTAACGTCACCTTCTGCTCCTTCAAGCAGATATACTCATCCAGCATCTCACCTAAAGTCAACAAAGTCTTTGGTGCCTAAAAAATCCAAGACACGTGCACAAATCTTCAGCTAAACAAAGGAAAACAAAAGGGATGCAAAATTATAGGAAATCAACTTCTAAAACTCCCAACTTTGGGATAAAAATGAAGAGCCGAATGGTGAAATCTTAGCAACAATGGTGAGAAAAAAGAAAGGGGGGGAGGGGGTTGGAAAAAAAATTAGGAAATAAGAGCCTAAAAACTTCAACTTTAAGCTGAAAAACGAGGACCCAGATGGTCAAATCTGCATAAAAACGGGTAAAAACATAAGGGGTGGAAGAAGAAGCGGAAAAGGTGCCTAAAAACCCAACTTTTCGAACCCAAATTCATAAATATGCAGTGAAAAATAAGAGGGAGTGTAGGGGTACCTCATGAATGGGTGAATTGGCGAGGAGGGAAGAAGCTTCGGTTCTGAAAATGGATCTTGTGGAGGTGAAATTGTTGTCGCAGAGGTACCTGTCGACGATGAAAGCGATCTGTGTAGGGTTAACCTTGCCCTTCCCGAAGACCTCTGGTTTTCTGGCTTTGGATTGTTTCCCCGCCATCTGTTAGAGTCTCACATCAGAATGAGAGGGACGCATTGGCGCTGCGTTAAAAAGTGGATGCCAAAGAACGCGGGAGTATTTTTGAACTTCTGCCGAAATCTCTGTTTTTTGGCGGTAATCACCAAAACGGCTCACACTGGGAGTCAAACCTTGGATTCAGTCCCACGTTAATAAAGAATAAATTGCTCTTGTAATCATTTTTTTTAATTATATAAAAAATATTTTAGAGCCTGTTTAATCACAGAAACGATAAGATAAAAGAGCTTAGATAAAAATAAAATATCATACAAGTAATATAGATTATTCTCATATCATATATATATTAAAATAATAAAATGTGTAATATTATATTATTTTATTTTATTTAATATTTGAGACAAATAAAAATTAAGAAAATTATTATAAATTATATTAAAATGATAAAATAAATCTTTTTAAAAATAATATATTTTTAATAAATTTTTTATTTATTTTTTACCTATATATATATTCTGAATAAATAATATTAAATTATATTTTTTAAAATTAAAATTTACTTTTTTCTAATGAATTATAAAAATTTAAAATTATGTTTTGTAAAATGAGTAAATATTTTTAATGAAAAATATTATTAAAAAATTATTAAAATTAAATTTTCATATAATTGTTATAGAATATATTAATAAGGGTATAAGATATTCAGAAAAGAAAAATTATCATGATTACTCCTAGTCTACAGTTAAAAAATAATATCAATACATTTTTTATAACATTCTCATAGTTATTTATAAAATTTATTAAATATTATAAAAATTATATAGATTTTACTTCTAATTTAATAATTCTTAATAATTTAATAACTTTTTTTTTATACTTTTATAGTTTTTAGTAAATTTTAATAACTAATAATATATTTAAAAATACATTAGAAAATATGTTCTCAACACTTTTCTTTTCACCTGTCTCAAGATAATAATTTTAAATATTTGAATACAATAACTTAATATAATAAGCTATCATATTATATTAGTTCAACAAATATAAAAAAATAAAATAAAATACAATAGGTATCTTATTATGTCTTTTAAATTTTTAAAATATTATTAAAATTATCAAAATAAGATATTTCGTTCATTTATAATTGTTAAATTTAAGCTACTACTTTATTGAAATTGGCCAAAAATATATATATTTTATTTAAGTCATAAATAAAAATTAAAGTTTGAGCCGAAATTATGTTTAATAAATAAATAAATTATGTTATCTTTTAAGTTGTTTAAAAAAAAAGGATATTACTTTTAATAACATTTCTTTTAATTAAATGCACCATTTTTTTTAATATATTAAACTAGCTTTAATATTTTATACAAATTAACTCATTTTCCTTCCATAAAATTTGTGAAAGACTCTGATTTCTAGTGCGTGAACAACATAACCTTCACACAAATCATCCTTCTTTCTAGTACTTAGAGATACACATCATTAGCCTTCATGCTAACAAGGACCTCACAAAGCACAAGTTGATGACCCAATAACCAAATATCAATCCCCTTTAGAGACTATTTTTAATTATAATTTATCTTTCAGAATAACAACACATAGTCACAAAAGTTGAGAAAGCACTTAGTTCTTTACTCATGAAAACTTGTAAATGTCCTTCAACTTATCTCTATTCATCATTAGTGCTCACAAAGTCAATCACCATTAGTATCTAAGTAATGGAAATGCCTATTTGTCATGTTAAATATGCATTAACACATTGTCTAACAAATTATTGCTACATAAATAAGAGAAAATTTGTCGTTAAGCAAGACTTTAATGTATAAAAAGGGAAATTTTACCATTTAATTATGAATGTCATGTGATTAACCTTGTTTTAATTATTGCAGTAATTAAAGTTGACAAGGAAAGGACAATTTTTGCTTTTTATGGACAAAGGAATTAAACCCTAACTGTTCTCTTTTCTCTAAAATATTTGTCTAGTTCTAATGTTAGATTTCAAATAAATGTTACATGTGGTTCTTATTTAATTTAATATGTATGTTGGCTTATTTTTATGTTGGTTAGTTGGTGTTTGTAAATTTTTTCTCACTTTCCTTGCATACAATGTAGTTAGTCTTTTGTTGAGAGTTTGAAATTCATCCTATTATAGATGGTAACCATTTACATACACCATGGAGGTAACTTTATTAAAGAAAATAATGGTAAAACTACCCATGAAAAGATAATGTAGATGCATGACTCAAGTGTGGTCATGATATGTTAGATACTTTTAGCATATTAAATTATTATAAAGAGTTTGGTTATCAATCTCTAACAATTGTTTATCAGTTGGACCTTGAGTTTGATTATAGAATGGGTTAAATAATTTCAAAGTAGATAAAATATCTTATTAAAATGGTGAATGTTTCTGCAAAAAGTAATAGTCAAATTCAGGTATATTATGAGTATACTATTTGTGAACTAGAAAAGGCAACCTATGCTAAGGTAATTGAAGCTTTTGTAGAAAGATTGGAAGTAGTAGGTGATGAGGAAAAGAAAGTGATTAATAAAAAGAATACAAAGAAAAATATTAAATATAGAAAACAATCTAGGTATAGGAAAGAAGACAAGAAGTGTAGGGCATGTTTGTGTAACAAAAAATACAAGGGCATGCAAAGAAAATAATAAAAACTAATGATTTTGTTGATACAAGAAAAGGGATAATAAAAGTTTAAAAAAAAAAAAAGGCAACGACAAAATCAAAATCACAAGGTCAAGATAAAAAGAAAGTAGTATGAAATGGAAAAGAAAAGGAAAAAGAGAAGATTGTGGGAACTGTTCTTGATAGTGAAGGGACATATAATAATCTTCTAAGAGAGGAGTTAATTAAATTTGAAGATGGTACTAGTAAATTAACAAAGAAAAAAGAAAGTTCAATTGAGAAATGAAAACATTAATATAAATAGTAATTTTTTTAATGAGATATAAGTCATAAAGAGATCAATATGACTAAAGCTTCTCAAACAAATGGTGATCAATTATGGATATATGAGGAATTGAAGATCTCATATTGTTATAATGAAAAGGATAGCATCAATTAAAGAATTGTAATTAAAGTTCAATGAAAATGCACAATTTGGTCATGCCCACTTGTTCATAAGGACTTAATGACTTTAAAATATTATTTCTAGAATTTTATTTCAAATATGTAAAAGAAATGTATGCTAAATTATGTAAGAAATTAAAGTATTTTTAATTATGTCAAGAACTAAAGCAACATGAAATGATTTTGTGTGAATTGCATTTAGTGATAGCAACTATCTTTATTGTGTAAGGACTAATACTTATTTTTTAATAAGTGATGTCAAGTACTCATAATAAGTTTTTTGTACGATGTCCATGACAAAATTTTAATAAATAATGAAAAGATTTATAATTAAAGAATTTGTTATGGAAGTTAGTAAGGGCCACAATAATTTCTTAATTTAATTTCAATATGACATATCTAAAAATAATCAATAAAAAAGTTTGGACTTATTTAGATAATTGCCTAATCATGCATGGATAAAGGCTCAAAATTTAATAAATGATTAAAAGTAGGCAATATATGCAACACTAATTATGAAGTGTTTGACTATACTACTTTCTATTACATTACTTTTCATATAAAATTATTGTTATTTTTAAATTTTTAATCATGTAATGATAATGTGCGATGATTTAAAGTTCACTACAACCTAATAAAAGTGATTGTAAATCTAGGCAACTAAACTTGCTTGTATAAACTTTGACAACTCTTTGGTATATCCTTTAAATGCTTATTATATTCTTTATTCTTTAATTAAATAACTATTTGTATTTTTGCTTGTGGTAAATATGACATGCATCCATGTTATGGCAACAATAACATACAAAAGTTAGAAACTAAAGAATTATTGTCATTATTAGTTTTTTATGAATGTTTATAAAGCAATATATCAACACTTTGTAATATAGAAAGGGAAAAACATTGGAAAATCAAATTGTAACAAATCCTTTGTCAATAAGAAACATATCTAAAAGACCAAAAAACAAAAGTGAAAGTTGAGTAAGTTCGTATGCACAAGTTGTAATAGGTTTAATCACAATAGGTTTAGCTGACTTAAATTAAAAAAAAAAAAAACTAAAGATAAGAGGAACAACACACATCTAAATCTAATATTAAAAATTTCTATGCTACCATATAAATTTAACCTTTCTCAGGAAGCTTTGCATACACACAAAAAAAAAAAAAAAAATCTATTAAGTACCATTATAAAATAGAAAAAATTAAAGTAAAGGCATTTATCATATAGTTAAGACACTCGTGAAATAATTTATTAAGATTTGTGATTGCTTTTTATATTTCTACTACAATTCTCAAACCACAAAAATAAATTATAATCTTGTCTCCCTTAAAATATGTATTGCCATATTTAGAAAATGAACTTCTATTAAAGCTTTTTCAATACTACGATGACATTATTTATGATTTATTTTCATTGCTAGCTATTTGATTTCAATTATCGGAAATAAACATTTATGGAGGTTGAAGCAAATAAGATAGTATCACAACCGGACGGTAGCAATAATACAGTAAAAATGTGTTAAGAAAAATATCTTTAAAGAATAAAAAATATTTTCTAAAAATTAGATGAGTCACCACCAAAGTTTATTTTAAGAAAACATTAGAAAAAATTTAAAAAAATATTTTTAAAACAAAAAATGAGCTTGAGAGTCATTTACGTCAAAGATATTAGCATCCTATAACATCAGTTTAAAAACGATTACCTTAAATTAATTGTATAAATTTATTTTAATTTTAAAAATATTTATTTAACCCCTAAACAAAAGTGTGATTATGTTTATTTTTAAAAAAATATATAAATTATTTATTAAAATGTTAATTGATATCTTAAAAGAGAAAATATTATTTAAAAATAATTTTGACTTGACAGGTTTGATTCTCACTTCTACGTATCTCTAAGTATAATGACAAACTCAAAGTCTCGTAGTTCTAT